ATTTTATTATTTTTGTGTGAGTGTACCGTCAAATCAGATCTGACTGGTACAGGAGGAGATTGTCCCTCCTTCCCCGGCAGAGCATCTGGTGGATTTGAACCATGCGCCTCTGGGATTGTAGTTGCAGCTCCTTACCACTAAGCCACTACGTGTGTCCTTTTTAAAAAACCCATCCGTATTCCAGAGAGCCCTAGTGTATGCTGGAGCTACTAATAGAAATAAGTTGGTGGTTTGAACCCACCAGTCTCTCTGTGGGATAAAGTTGGAGAGCCTGTTCCCGTAAAGCTATACAACCTTGGAAACCTCCTGGAGGGTTGCCATGGGGCAGCAGTTCAGTGAAGAAGGCTTAGTGATGGATCTGTCCTAACTCCATCCTAAGATGTTCTGGTGGCCGAGGGGTACGGCGTTGAGCTGCCAACCTAAACACATGTGATTCAAGTCCACCGGCTGTTCTAGGGGGAAGGAAGGGCAGTCTCCTCCTGTGTGATTCACTGCCTCTGAAAACCCACTAGAGGGTCAGCTATGAGTTGGTTCTGATGAGAGGTGCCTAACAACTGCTGAATTAATCCTCCCAAAAGAATGTGTGCAAAAACACCACATGACAATTGTATATCTCTGGTTCCCTCATCTTGGGGCAGGAAGACTCCCTCCCCCCAGAAAGACCTCATCCAGGGCCGAAATGAGTCCAGAAGTTCTCCAGCCCCAAGGAACTGCGTCCTTCTCACAGCCTACCTTTCTGTTCTCCTCCAGATGGTGTGGGCAACCTCCAACCGGCTGGGCTGTGCCATCCACACCTGTGGCCGCATCAATGTCTGGGGCAACTCTCTGTATCAGGCAGCATACCTGGTCTGTAACTACTCCTTCAAGTAAGTGCCAGCTCTGGGGCAAAGAGGGTCCTGAGGGCAGAGGGTGGCTCTGGTAGTAGAGTGGGCAGGACACAAAGGAAAGAAAGACATCCACTTAGCACTTAAATAAACCCATAACATAATGCACGTGTGTACACACCCATCTCTCATAAGACACGCCATACAGAAAACTCCCCCATGTATTTCAGCGACACACTCTCTCCTCAGTTTTCAGTCAAGTCAATGCTGCAGATGTTAGTAGTCTGAGTCAGCAAATTGTCATTTTTCTTTACCCAAATTTCAGGATCAATTAGGAGATGAGGAAGCTAGCAGATGACTACAGGGCCTCACCGATGAGACCAAGATGGAGAATCTGCAGCTCAGGTCAACCAGAGCTGAATTAGATCTATAGGTCCAACCTGTTAGTATAGAGAGTGGCATGTTGTGCTGCTAACCCAAAGGGCAGTAGTTCGAATCTATCATCAACTGCTCAGGGGCAGAAAGATAGGCCATCTCCCCCCATTAAGATTTGTTGTTGTTGTTGTTGTTGTTGTTAAGTGCCGTCCAGTTGCAGGCGACTCATAGAGACTCTATGAAGGAGAGTCCTCGACACTTGGGTGCCTTTCATCCTCTCTCCAGGTTCATAGAGTTTCCAGAGGCAAGCTGTTATGGAAGTGCATGCCACTCCTCCTTCCAACCGTTAAGATTTACAACCTTTAAAAAAAAAATTACAACCTTGGAAACTGATACAGAGTCACTGTGAGTTTGGAACTGACTGGATGCGAGTGGGTTTGGTGCCCTGTAACAGACCACAGGGCCAAGAGCCCACTGCAGAGGCAGTGCCTGCAGACTTCCTGGGAGAAATGGAGAAGCAGGAGGTCACCAAAAGGAAGTCAGGTGGGAGAGAACAGAGCACGCTCAGCCCCTTCCCAGCGTCTCCAATCAGGTGAGAGGATGGACAGAGGCTGCAGCCCACATACAGTCCTGTCCTCACCCATGGTGACCTCTGTCTGTTTCTGAGGCTGTAAATCTTTACGGGAGGATGCTTCCTGGCTTTGTCTCACAGAACTGGTGGATTTAAACGGCTGATCTTTTTTTTTTTTTTCAGTTAGCCGGCCAACATGTAATCCACTGCGCCACCAAGACTACTCAGCTCCTTCTCCCATCTTCTCTAATCATGTAACTGCAGAGTGGGAAGAAGCTAGGAGTGATCCTCATGGAGATGGGGATAGCGTTCCCATTGAGTATACAGTTACTCATACTAAGACCTCCTGGAGGGCCCTTGTATTTAAAAATTGGGCCCAAGGGAGTATATTTTAATCCCTTGTTACTATATTTTGGAAGAACATTTTTCTAAGTCGTCAGTTCTGTCAATTTGCTGTGCTGAGGCAATCTGGGTTTGCTGTGACGCTGAACCTTGTGCCACTGCGGGGTCAAATGCCTTAATGGCTACCCATGGCTACTACAGTGTTTGGTGGAGCTCCCAGCGTAAGACAGGTTTGGGAGCAGGAGTTCCGTCCACATCCTAAACCACATGCCTCTGGAGAAATGACAGTTATATAGAGGCCTCAGGTCTTTTGTTCATAGGGTCGCTATGAGTCGTGCGTGACTCGACAGCAATCAACAACAAGTACCTGTTGCTGTTAGAGAGCTCTGGTGGCCTAGTGGTAAGGAGCTGTACTGCCAATGCGAAGGGATGTGGTTCGAATCCACGAGCTTCTCTGTGGGAGAAAGATGAGCAATCTCCTCCTGGGCTGTTTCCTGCCTCTGAAAACCCACTGGAGGGTCAGCAACTTGATGGTATAGCAACAATTACGACCCACTGCTATTGGGTCTTGTGACTCATACTGATCCTGTTTGATAGCATAGAGCCATAGAGTTTCCCAAGGCTGTAATCTTTCCAGAAGTAGACTGACACATCTTTCTTATGGTGAGCTCTGATGGCCCAGGGGTAAGAAGCTGCACTGGCAACCCAAAGGCACATGGTTTGGACCCCCGGAGCTGCTCTGTGAGAGAAATATGAGTAGTTTTCTTCTAAGTGATTTATAGCCTCTGAAAACCCACCGGGGAGTCAGCTATGAGTAGGTCCTACCCTGACACATAACAGCAACCCTTACTGAGAACAAATTCCAAGTGGTGTTTAGAATTTCAACTCTCTAATAACCGCCTTTATAATAATAACAACACAACTCTTGCTCATTTGCAAAATACTTTCATTGTACTGTTTGAATGAAGAGATAAAAGATGGAAAGAAGGAAGGAGCCAGTGGAAAGAGAGACAGTGGAAAAAGTATTATTTTTAGGTTAAGATTCAGAAATCAAAACAGAGTAACTTATCAAAAGTCATATAGACAGTAAGAATCAACACTTTTAAATGCAAGTTGCTTACCAAATCCATGCTTTGTCCAAGCCATTGTTATGTGCCATCAAATTGATTCTAACTCTGGCATTCTAACAAGGTGACGTTAAAACTGATTCTAACAAGATTCTAACAGGGTGACATTGAAACTGCCTCATAGAGATTCCTGGGTTGCATCTTTACAGGAGCAGATTTTCAGGTCGTTTCTTCCGCTGAGCATCTGGTGGGTTTGAATCCTTGCTGTTAGCCACTGAGTGCTTATTATTTCACTACCAGGGCTCCATCGGGCTACTATTTCATTTTGATTCTCCAAAGTCATTCATTTGCAAGAACCTTAACACCAGTTCTCAAATGAATTATTAGTCACATAGTGGTATCTCTAGTAAAGTGTCATATTGTAGTCCAGCTTTACCAGACACATAAGAATAAATCAAATACTGGGTTTTGTTGAGATCGTGAATGTTTGAAGAGTATTAACAATATTACTGTTAAAGGGAGCTCTGGTGGCCTAGTGGCAAGAAGCTGCACTGCAATCCCAGAGGTGCATGGTTCAAATCCACCAGGTGCTGTGCTGGAGAAGGACCAGTTAGATCTGATTTGACGGTACACACACAAAATAAAATAAATAAATAAATAAATAAAAATTTCAAAAAAACCCAACAATATCACTGTTAAATAAACTAGTGGAAAAAACAAACAATTATCACTGTTAAGATTTTGGGCTCTGGAGTCAAAACTATCTGAGTTCTAATCTGATATTTAGTTATGGAGCTTCTCCCTGCCTCACTTTTTTTTTTTACTTTTTATTTATTTTATGTGTGTACCGTCAAATCGGATCTGACTGGCACAGGAGGCGATTGTTCCTCTCTCTTCAGCAGAGCATCTGGTGGATTTGAACCGTGCACCTCTGGGATTACAATGCAGTTTCCTGCCACTAGGCCACCAGAGCTCACCTCCCTGCCTCACTTTTATTTCTCCATCTGTGAAGCAGAAAGAAAACAGTGCCCCCTCAGAGCATTGTGGAGAGAAGTGAGCTAGCACGGGAACTGCCTGTGGACACAGAGTAAGGGCAGAAAACATGCCCATTCTTACGATCTGATCTGAGTTTCGTTCCCAGCCCGGTCGTGAAGATAGGGAGGACCTTCGGTGTCTAAATCATATCTCAACAGGCCCCAGTCTCCACATCTGAAATGAGGCAAACACATCCCGTCTCACCGAGTTGTGTTGTCATTAGGTGCCAGCGAGTGGACTACAGTTCATAGCAACCTCGTAAACAATAGATGGAAAGCCTGGCCTATTCTGCACTGTTCTCACCATCTCTGCCGTGGGCAAACCCTCGGTCGGAGCTGTGTCCTTCCATCTCGTTGCCAGTCTTCTCTACACTGTTCTAAGCATGCGCCTTTTCCCAGGACTGGCTCCTTCCAACACATGCACAGAGCACATGAGACGAAGGTTGACCATTCTTGCCTCTTGTTGTGCTTCCTCCAACCCAGATTTATTTGTCCTTTTGGCAGTTCATGGTATATTCAGTTCTCTCCACCAACACCACGGTTCAAAGGTATCACTTCTCCTTTTGTCTTCCTTAGTCATTGCCCAACTTTCACATGCACACGAAGCAAATGAAAATATCATGGCTTGGGGCTGATACATCTTAGTCTTCAAACTGACATCCTTGCTCTTTAGCACTTTTTATTTTTTAAATTTTTTTATTTTTTATGTGTGTATCATCAAATCGAATCTGACTGGTACAGGAGGAGATTGCTCCTCCTTCTCCAGCAAAGCATCTGGTGGATTCAAACCGCATACCTCTGGGATTGCAATGCAGCTTCTTGCCACTAGGCCGCGATTTTGAGCACTTTAAAGAGGTCTTTGACATTCATGTTGTAAGGATTAAAATATTATCACTTTTCCCCATCAAAAACTCAGAAGTGATTGCTATTGAGTAAGAACTAACTCAGAGCTGACCATCCAACAGATTGTCAGAGGTGGTATCGATGGGGGAGATGACTCAGTTTTTTCCCTTGGAGCTACTGATAGATTGGAACCCCCAGGCCGTGCTTAGGGTTAGCAGAGCACTCACCAGGCTCCCAGAACTCCCCATTTTCCATTGTTGTTGTCAGGTGCTGTCAAGTAAAGTCACTCAC